AAAATATGATGATAACAAATCCTATGGAAATTTTCAATCAGTCAGTAAACGTAGATATTTAACGTTTGATTTAGCATATAACGGTAGATGAAAGATTCAGTAAATATATACATATATGTGTGTTTTTTATGGATATTTTTCTTCTGGGACACATTTTACTATTCACTTTAATTATACAGTTTTCTTTAATATTTTGGGTTACTATGTATTTGCTGTTTATGAATGTTATAGTCCAAAATCAAATTAAATGATCTTGCATCCGGTTCTACAAAAGCAATTTCTCTACAGAAGCAGGTAGAAAGTCTTCTCTCTCACAATGTTCAGCCATGACAACCTACCATAACCGAATGTTAGGAGATAGCAGAGTGTCAAAGATGGTTGAAAAAGCCAATGTATTTGAAGAAACGACAAAGGTTTTGGCTAGAAAGTAAGTTTTCTAATAATATCTTTCATATTTGACTAAACAGGCATATAAACAAAAATACATAAAAGCGGTATTTAGAAAAATTACTTTAGATTCTACCATTAGCTCTTATATAAACAAACACAAGAAAAATATACGAAATGCTACTAAATATATTTCACTGTGGCGAGGGAAAAATTATGTTCTCTGTACTACACTTTGAAGTTTGAAGTCAAAAGTTTTACTGGACGTGACAGTGTAAAAGGTACGTGGTCATGTGACTGAATGTCCATTAGCTCTTTATTTCTGGAATGAAATGGATACTATCTTTACCTTTCTTATAGGTTAGGGTTAAAGAGCGAAGAAGTTTCTGCTTTAGCCGATGTCAGTTTAAAATCAAGCAAGTTGGGAAGTATGTTCAGTGAAGATGAAGAGCAAAAAACGTGTAGTTGTGCACAAAAATACCGGGAATTTGACGGAACGTGTAACCGTTTACAATCTCCTAAAGACGGTTCTGCTTTCACCTGTTTGACAAGACTTCTTCCAGCCAAATACGCTGACGGTGAGTGTTACACTGATTAGTGCACTTTTGGTATAAATTTATGAAGGTATTTCAAAACCAGTAAAATGTAACTTTAGTCAGATCAAACTTGTGAAGGTACAAAATTTATTTTTCGTACTAGTAGCATTGACAAAAAAAAGCAAAACTTCCTTTTCAAAAAACGTAGTAGTAGTTTTCCAGAAATGTCGGTTTTTGGTATATATATATTCAGTATTTTTTTCTTACAAGTAAAAGATAAAAGAGACTTTAATATTGTCAGAAAGCATTTTACTTTTATAATTTTAGATTTATATTCGTATTGCTAACTGTGTAGATTATTGTGATATATATTTCAATGTAAAAATAAATGAGCAAAAAACAAGCTTATGATTGTTTACAATTATTATGTCTAGAGAAACTCTATTATTTGGATTTCATCAGCCTCCCCTCTATCCACATAATATTAATACTTGTTACAATTATATTTCTGATGGTGTGGGGTCAATTCATGGATCATGACAGCGC